CCCCAAAACCCCAAAACCCCAAAACCCCAAAACCCCATTCAATAGGAAATATATTGGCTTATAAAATAATAACAAAATGGTAAGTGTCGCTTAAAATGTGAGCTATGAGCCACAATAGAACTATTTTATCAGCCCTTTATTAATTCCGACCAGTGAATTAAAGGGTGTTTACCAGTAAATTTGGAGACCTTCTTGCTTAAATTTTATTAAAATTTGGAATTAAATAGGTAAAAGCGTTACATTTGATTCCTAATCCCAACATCTGAACACTTTTTAGGATCCGGCAAACAACGAAAGTACTGACCATGGCTCTCTAGAGCCAGTATCCGAGCTACTCAAGCTGAAGGAAGGAAATATTTTTGCCCATTTGGGCCTTATCAGGCCTGGAATGAATATCGGTGGGAAGCTCAATAATACTAATGTTCGAAGAGCCTGAAATGCTGCTAAAAGAATCTGAAGAATTAATAAAGAGGCCTCTCCTCAGAGAATTATGAAATCGACCACAGTAAAAAATCTTACTACAATTAGCGATTTGGTTAAAAGTCCCATCAAAAATAGGGGGCATATAAAGCAAGCTTTAGCCATGATGGGAGACAGATTCCATGGGACCCTTCGTGGTCAGAGGATGATCAAGAAGGCCCTAAACCTGCGTGACATTGAACTTCCGCTGCAGACATGAGAGCCTGAGAAGTAGGTTTACCGCTTCATCACCATTTTCTAATTTATTAATATAGTGATGATTCCTCAAAACTTCTGGAGATCGACAAATTCATAAAAACATACAAAAAGGCGAGCTCAAAGAAGCACAAGAAGACTAGTCTTAGAGACCTCATTGGGGATGATATCAAAAGGTTTAAAATTCACCAGAGGAAGATCTCATACTTTAACAAAGCTAGAAGGGTATGGATTCCTTAAAATTTTGCTATTTAACCCCTATTAAGAAAGTTCAAAACATGTTATAACAAGCCTAACAATATTTCTATAGGGACTTAGTAAGAAGAGTCGGCCTCAAGCTGGGAGTGAAGAGGATGAAGAAGAGCTTTGGAAGCCGAAGCTCCCGCTCATCTTCAAGCCAGATGAATCTGATCAGAGCAAGAGCGTCAATCAGACACCGAATGTATCTATGACACCCAAACCTAGACATTTTCTGATTACTAAAAATCCTGATATGAGTATGAAGAATTTGAGGTCTACAAATACTTCGCAGACAGATATTGCTTTGTCAGCTACCTCTACTAGCCAAACAATTTCGTCTAAGGTCCATCTCACTCCTAGGAAGAAGATGTTTTTAACCAAGATAGACACCGGCAGGCACAGAAAAGGTCTCCAGAGCTCATACGAGCTTGAAAAAGTTCAGGAAGAAATAGCTTTAATGAACTTGAAAGTTCTTGACAAAATCAAGGAAAGCAGTCGCAAGAAGCTCCTACCTACTTTGAGTCCTAATAAGCGTAGGCGTGATCGGAGCCAGGATAAAGATGTTCGAAGGAAGCTTAAAAATGGCAGCTCAGACTTATAGAAACTCGGCACTGTATATTATTCATATATTACCAGTCTGGTTAGGTATAAAGGGGTTTTGGGGTTTTGGGGTTTTGGGGTTTTGGGG